CAGAGACTAAACAGTGTGCCCAGTGCCCTTTTATGGAGGTCCTCTCCACCTATTCCCCACAGCATCTTTACCTTTGTCCATGCACAGAGTATTCCTGGTCTCCATGGTAATGTCCAGAGTCTTCCAAACTCTAGTTCCTCTTTTGCTGATCTGGAAAGTGCCAGAAACCTAATACAAAAGAGCCACCAATAAAGAATTGGTGGCAGGCATCTCCCCTGAGAGGAGGTCTTAGGTACTCCCTCAGGTGAGACAGATTCTCAACTGACCCCCCAAATTGTTAAAAATAAGTTTGGGCTTAAAATGAAAGAGACCACCATTCCAACTGAAGTCTCTGGACAGGCATACTTTATTCTTGATCAAAAGGGTACCCTCAGAAGAGCAAACACACCAACACAGAAAATGTGTTCAGTTTTCATTCTAACCCAGCTGGAGCTGTGTCTTTCCCCAAAAGCTGGGGTCTGAGCTCACAATCATATTCAGTTAGCTAGTCTGAAAAGAATTGGTTCACAGGGAAAGGAGTCACTGTTCCAAGGAGAAAAGGGTCACTGCTCCAGGCCATCAAATTCCTAGACTAGAGCAGTGGGACTTAGTGTAAACAAAGGTTTTCACTGGGTGAGGGAGGATTAAAATATTGCATAAAAGTCTTACAGTGTAGGACAGATAAAAAGATTTTAATTCTGTGTCAACACAAGTTTTACAGTATCTGTTAGGAAAGACTCATACTGTTATGGGTCTGGAGTCATTCAGAGATTCACCAGTCTAAGTTTAACAAGAGGCTTGATTGAGACTGGAACCAGGACTGCACACAAGAGTTGGGATTCTCAAGATGCAGCCTCAAGCCACATTAGTAAAGGGTTTATAAAAAAAAAAAAGAAAAAAACACAAGTTACATTCTGGGGGCTGTGTCAGCACATATCCTGCCTACACAAGCATCCTGCCTATGTGTAAGCAGGGGCTTAATTAGCAAACAGATGTATTTGGTTACCTTGAGCAAGCAAGCTTGTTTACAGAAGCAGAAACACATGATTAGCATTGTAACTGTTACTTTGCATGAATGGCAGTTTTAGTTAAAATTGTTTAAGACTAGACAGTTGTGAGAAAAACCCTACACATTTCAGGAAGCCATATGTTCTTAAGTAAGCTGGCTAACAGGGTCCGGTTTTCATCGGTATAGCTTTTACAGGCTAGAGGCTGTAGGAAAAAGATTGGCCAAAGAAACTCATTCCGGCCCTAGAGCCCAGAACCAGGGAAAGAAACACAGCCTGGGTCTGGGACCTGAGCCAGAGAGAGGACATTTTTATCCCCAAACCCAGAACCAAGGAAACATGCCCTGACTCTGAAACGAGTACCAAAAAAAAAAACCCACTCTTGGTCTCTAGAATCAGGGCCAGTGAAAGAAATATGCCCTGGCTTAGAATTAGAGTAAAAAAGCCAAGAAAGGCCAGTGAAAGAAATACAGTTTGGCTCTGAAATCAGGGCCATCTCTGCCCCTAGCCCACAAAATTGACCAATCCCTGAGCAGAAAAAAAACTAATCAATCCCTGGTTGACTCTGCCCATAAGAGATCCTATATAAACCACCCTGCCTGGTCAGTTCTGGGCTGTTCTCTCCACCCTGGTAGAGGCAGCCACTCTCCTGGACTCCTCCTTCCTAAATAAATCTTTCTCAAAAGAGTTTGGAGTGTGAACATCTTCATTCACCAGAGCAGAGAAGATTGCTAAGATGTCCCATAGTGGACTGAGAAGAAAAAAAAACCTTGCTGAGACGTCCCTCAGGGGACTGAGCAAGGGGGAGCTGAAAAAGTAACACTTTTCTCCTGAGCCAGAGGAGATTGCTACATTTCTGCAGGGGTTTCCCCTTTTGCAGAGTGAAGCAAAAAGAAGCAACATCTTAGGCTGGAGAAGAAGCAGAGCTCTGCTAGGAAGCCCCCTTAAGTGGGGGCTGAGCAAAGCTGAGCTGGAGCAGCTCTGCAGGAGAGGAGTAAGATTGCTATGTCCTGTGGGGAGACCATCCCCCACCACACCAGGTATAGCCTGACTCCTGAACAGTCAGGACACCCTTCCCTGCTGAGCTGTCCTAGCATCTCCAGGCCTGACTCTCCCAAGCAGTCAGAATACCTTCCCCTCCAGGACTGAGCTTTCATTGCAGCTTCAGTCATCAGAGCTGTCCTAGCAGCTCGAGGTATCCGGAATGCCTTCAGGGCTGAGCTGTCCTAGCAGCTCAAGGTGTCACCTGACCCCCCAAGTAGTCAGGATGCCTTTCCCCTAGAGTTGCAAAACTCATGTTTTGGTGGTTTTGGTGCTGAAACCCTGGACCAAACCCCCAGAGTGGCAACAGTTACTTACAGAGGCAATTTTTGCTTTTTAGATTTTTGGTTTTGTTTTTTTTTTGTTTTTGTTTTTTTGAGACAGTATTTGTCTGTTTAACAGCCATGGCTGTCCTGGAACTTGCTTTATAGACCAAGCTGGCCAAAACTCATGGAAGTCCACCTGCCTCTGCCTCCTATATACTGGGATTAAAGGGATATGCCACCACTACCCAGATGCTTTATAAATCTTTTAAGCACAGTAATTTAAGCTTTAAACACAACATTAGTCATCACAATATTTGCTATTTCTTACATAGGTATGAAAAAAACTCATCGGGCCTCTACAGGTGGCAGTTTGCCGCTGGGTCTCTAGCTTCCATTCATGAATGAACTCACAAGCCAAGAAAAAGCACGGTTAATATTCTGATCTGCCCCTTGAAATCCCCCACCCACCTCTTGGGACCGCCCTGCATCCTGATATGAAAGCCACATTTAAGGAAAAACTCTTCCCCTTCCTCTCTCATTTCCACTTTTCCTCCCATAAGATTCCACTTTTCCTCCCATAAGATGCTCGCTCGCTCTCTCTCTCTCTCTCTCTCTCTCTCTCTCTCTCTCTCTCTCTCTCTCTCTCTGTGTGTGTGTGTGTGTGTGTGTGTGTGTGTGTGTGTGTGTGTGGTGTGTGTGTCTTTCCTATCTTTCTCTTCATCTTCTATTATAATAAACTCTCCACATGGATGCAGAGTCTGGGTTTTGAATTACTGGCTGCCACCTCTGCCACCATACCCATATGGTGTGCATCTGCCCAGCATGTTTCCCTGCACACCAGGGATACCCTCAGGGTCTCCTCCATGCAATAATTCATAGCATTGGTGCCAAACATTGCCAGGCAATCCCACTCCTTTCTCATACCCACCAGCAGTCTGAGGAGCTCTGGGATCCTGTACCACCCACCATTTTTTTCAGGCTGGAGCACCACCGGAGACTCTTCACCATACCAGATTGGTAAGATTTCTCCCTTCCCTTTTCCCATGAGTGAGAATTCATCTCCTTTTGATTTCTGGTACCACATGTCTTTTGGGCTCTAAGCCCCTCAGCCCCCATCCCTATGTGATGGCATATAGAGATGGTTTGTGCCCACTCAACTCCATGGCCCATAGCCTTTGTGATGATGGTCCATTGGCTATCTTGTGCCATTATCAATGGCCCCTGCTGACCCTCTGGGATGCAGGAGGTCAATCCACTGGGTCTTATACCTCATTGTGGAAAAATGTGCCTATGGTCCCCCACCCTCACCACTGCCACCAACCCATGGCTTCAGTTCATTCCCCTGTGGCGCTTGCACCATGCCACAGCCCAGAGGGTCCCTCTCTCCCACCCAGCTACACTGTTATTTCTCCATCTTTCTTTCACAAAGTCTATTTCCTGTGTGTGAATGGAAATGTATGATTGGTATAACCATCTATGTTTCTTTCTGACTGACTTTTAAATGCTTCAATTTATCTTTTCCTTATCTGTTCCATTATTTGGGGGGGGACCCACATGAACATGTGGTCAGGCAATGTCATCTTAAATAAGGGCAACCACATGGTCTAGTTGCCATCTTGGCTAAGATCAAAAACAGGCAGGTCATATGACTTCACCGCCATCTTTACTAAGGGCAGCATGGGTGGGGCACCCGGTGCTTGGGAATCACTTCCCACCATGCATTGTCTCACCATCGTTTTATGGGCCAAGGGAAAGTTCTCCGGCCTTGGCCTGGTGTTCCTCAACCTCCTCTCTCAGGGTCCAGCTGTCTGGGCAGGGCAAAAGTCCAGTCTCAGCCTGCCGTTCATTCCTCCACTGCTGCTTGTATGGGGAGGACCTGGAGGCATATGCACTCCCCTCTGGGGCATCAGCAGAACCACATACAGGCAGTACCATTATATTAAGATTTTAAATTTCAGATTTTAGCATTATTACAATTCTGATACACTTTGGGCCACAGCTCAGGATTTTAAATTTTCCTTGGCTATTCATTACCTACTTTTCCATGATTTGGATTTCAGTACTGATTGATAATATTATCTAAAACTTTTATTTTTTTCCTCACTTGTCTATTCCTAAGGATGGTATTTTTTCTCTCTCCTGGTCTTGGGACTTCTGCTCTTCTCAATTACTAAGACTATGGGCCAAAAGGCTCCAGTAAATTCAAAAATTTTAACTCCCGTCTCTAGTCTACATCTCAGCAGGCTGGCAGAAACATTGAATCAGCAGCTGTGGACCACAACCTGCAGCACTTTCCCTGCTATGGATGTTAGCAGAGATTCTTGTCTGTGTGATGTGCATCAGCCCAGCCAAATGTAATTGTTCCCTGCCTCTACAGCCAGGTCAGATAACCACATGCTTCTGACAAATGCCCCACTGCCCAGCCTCTGACTGGCCTTTCAGCCTTTTTTGGAGCCTTGACAACAGTGCCCCAATGCCAGCTCAAAGCAGTTCCAGAAGAGAATACATCGTCCCATGTTCCCTGTCTAGAATAGGTTGAAATGCTGGGTCAAAAGGAACTCCCCTGGCATAGAAGACTGACTGGCTATCAAATGTCCATTGATGTTTGTTAATTAAAATGGTCCTGCAATAAGATAAGACATTTGACCTTCTTTAAGCAGAACCAAAGAGGTATTGTTTACTTAAAATGGCTGGCCTTTCCCCCTGATCTCCAGGCAAGCTTTATTAAAGCACAAATAAAATATCACCACATTTCAACACAAATAAAATATCACCATACCTGACCTTGGCCAATTCCTCTGGTTTGTTTTCATTTTCTAAGTAGGTCACTGTGTGTTGTCATTTCTGGAAAGGAGCCCCAGCTCATGTGGAACTTCCTTTCTTCAGGCTGCCTTCTGCTTTCCTCTTGCTCTCCACTCCATTCTATGGAACCTGCAAAAGCACTCAAGTAACTGAAATTATTCCGCTGTCCTCCTGGACAACCAGGTCCACTAGAAATTGTCCTGTTGTCCTCCTGGACAACCAGGTCCATTAGAAATTGTACCACTGTCCTCCTGGACAACCAGGTCCCCTAGAAATTGTGTGCTTCTGTCCTCCTGGACAACCAGGCCCACTGGAAATTGTCCCACTGTCCTCCTGGACAACCAGGTCCCCTGGAAACTGTCCTGCTAGCCTCCTTAACCAGGTCCACTGTTTGTTGTGCAAAGGAAACAAGACCAGAGGTAGTTCCAAGAGTCGTTTGTGACTTCCTGTATGAAGCAGCACATTTCTTGCTTCACCCCAGGAATGCTCCAGACCACATCCTTCTTCCAGTAGAAACACAGTCAAGCTCTTTTCCTCATAGAAATGTTCTATCTTAGAGTAGGCATGATATTTTGACTGTCTCTTGCAGCAATTTGACCTGCAATGTCAAAGTTTCTGATTGTTGTTTTGACCTATATTCAGAAATTTGGAATCCACACTGTTACACAGACAACAAAATGGGCAAAGGGTTTGGAGGACGTATTAATACAGACAACATCCATACACTGTGAAAATCACTAGTAAGGCTGTTGCTGAGGGGGAATTTCATTTGGAAATTCCTGGGAGTTGACACCAGTTTGCCACTGTGTGAAGTCGTGGTTCTTGCAGGGTTAATTCCAGAGGTAACTGCCTATGGTCTCACAGCAGCTGTTGCTTGTCACCTCCAGTGGAAAGAATTTATAGTTCAGTTTTACATGCAGGCATACTGTTAGTATCACTCCTCAGAATCCTCTTATTAATAAAGTTAGCCAAATTAGCCAGTGGAGAGTCATATTTGAAAATCCAATGACATTTAACATTTGTAATAAAGGCTCAGAAATATTGTTGTGGAACATGTGGTACAGAGAACTGTGGTCAAATTAATAATTGAAGTGCAGAACCTGGCAGAGGTGAAGATTGATAATGACTTCTTGCCTCTAATATTTGGAGGAGTTTTAAAGGTAAATAAAATGAGATAACAAGACACATCAAATTTTGTTTATTTCTTTGATCACTCCTTCCCACATGAGAGCACAGGTCCCTTGTTTGTCTACACATCTTGAATAATTCACTGCTCATAGACTTTCCAGTCTAATGCATTATAAAACAAACTCAGTCTGAGTTCAATCATATTAGACTGCAAGCTGAATTTTTCATGAAGGATTATTTAAAACAAAATGTATCTTGGGCCCAACAGCCTACAAAACCAAGTAATCATGAGAGTTCAGTGAGAAAGTGTCAACAGTGGAGAATTCTCCAGTTCAGAAAACTAATGTTTGATGCACATTAACCATAACAATATTTACAGCACTCTGCTCGGCACTGACTGGGAGCTGGGCTAGCTTCGGTCTTGTACCTTAACTAGTTGGGAAAGCACTGGGAGAGGTGTTCCTGGGTTGAACTTGACCTGCCTCTTCATTTTGAAAGCTTTATTCAGTTGGATTTTTCTGCCTCTCCCGTCTTAACTCTTGCTCCTGTAGGAAAATGAAAACACTCAGACATTGGCATTGATACTGCAGAGGCTTTTCTGGGAGTAGTGTCTTTCAGTGTCCTATCTTCTAAATGACACTGTCGACCCTCCGGCATAAAAGTCACTCTTTGTTTGGAAAGACACCAACAATGACTGACAAACCACAAGTCATTTTGAACCTCATTTTAAATTTTGAGCTATATCTTTATGTTAGAACTTGACTTGGTCAGTAGTGAATAATGAAACAAGAATTTTCACTGGGCTGTACACATGGTAGAAAGAATGGAGCAATTATCAGTCTTTCTCTTGAGTTGTAGAGGATACTGTAACTTTGGCTGGGTGGTTGTGGCATGAGCTTTTAATTCCAGCACTCAAGTGGCAGAGGTAGGAGGATCTCTGAGTTCAAGGGCAGCCTGGTCTACACAGTAAGTTCCAGGACAGTCAGGGCTACACAAAGAAATGAAACCCTACCCTCCAAAAAATGAGAGAGAGAGAGAGAGAGAGAGAGAGAGACAGAGACAGAGAGACAGAGAGAGACAGAGAAAGACAGACAGAGAGAGAGAGAGAGAGAGAGAGAGAGAGAGAGAGAGAGAGACTGTAAATATCTCTATTAGTATTTTGCCATTAGATTGTTTTATCTGCTAGCTGACCCTGACTTTTGGGTCACTGAGAAGCTCATATTAATTTTTTAGACTCTCCCTTTTCCACTAAAATGCTTATAATTTTGCTAGTAAAAATGGAAAAAAGAAAAATATTCCAGTAGGAAGGAATGAAGAGAGAGAAGAAAGGGCGGGAAGGAAGATGGGCTCCTAGATGGATGTTATGGGATAAATCTCCTTTTCAGTTTTTAATGAACAAGCTGCTGCTGACTTTTGAATAGAGAGTTCATCTCAAAGGTGACATGAGAAGATTTTAAATTTAAACAGTATCTCTAGGACTCAAGAGTCAGAGCAACAATTGCTACATTCTTCATACCATGTCCATTGAGAACTATTACACTTAATTATACACTAACTATTTAAGAAGACATCTATGGGACCCTCCTAGCAATTTCCTAATCAAATGGTGTGGAGTCAATTAAATGAGGTTTCTCTCTTATCACCATACATGCTATTAAGAACTGGCATAGCAAAAACAAAGCAGACAATGAAGACAGCATGCCTTAGTCTACTTTCTGTTGCTATAACAGAATACTTGAGGCTGGGCAATTTATTAAGTAAAAGGATTTATTTAGGCTCATGACTCTAGAAGCAAAAAAATACAAGCATGGGTGGCTACATGCAACAACAACAAAAAAAAAGCCTCACGCTGCCCTGTAACATGGTGGAGGACTTCTCACAGTAGGAGTGCACAGGAGCTTAGCAGTGACTGCACCTGAGAGGGGGAGACAAGAGTGGTCCAGATGATTTCTAACTAATCATCACGGGAACTGATCGTCTCGGGAGAAGGACCCATGTCTCCCGACATGCCCCCTCCCCAGTGCTACTGCCTTGGGAATCCAGCCTCAGTGTGTGTGGCAAGAACATCCAGACCACAGCACAGAGACCCTGAGTCTGAATGTGCAGCACAGACTAAGAACAAAGCTGAAGTGTCTACATCCTACTACAGAGACACTTGCTCCTTGCACGGTCTACAGCCTACAATCAAGGAACGTGTTTCGCAAATCATTTCATAACATTTTTTTCCATATTTAGTAGGAATGGTTTCCATTGGCTGAGTCCATGGCTGCCTATCTCTGTGGAATTTCTAGATCAAGGAACAGCCAGTGAGGTGTTGAAACAACATGGCATCATAGCCAAAAGAACCTAAAAGCTTCCCTCTTCACATCCCCATATCCCCATCTCTTCTACTTCTGTCCCTCCTCTTCAAACTGAAGGGCTCATGGCAGCCTTTATCCCTCCCACAGGGTTGAACTCTCTCCCTCACAGTAAATCCTGGAATCCACTCCTTGCAGCCTCTCTGGTTTTTCCAGAGTTGATTTTGAGGGGAGAGTAAGACCCAGCAGCCCTGCTGGGTGGCCATGCTTCAGAGCTAAGACTTACTTTGGGAGAGGAGGAGGAAGGTACAAGCTTTCCCAGTAGGAGGAAAGGTTTAGGTCCTGGGTCTATGGAGAGATCCAAAGCAGCAGACACTCGGGGTAAAGAGAGGAAAACAGTTGGTGAGACGTATGCCATGTGTATCCAGAAGCCAGAGATGGAATAAAAAAGGCCTCTGTCTAGCACTTGACATCATGTCATGGCCTTGGCCACTCAGGGGGCCTGTGGCCAAGATGACATACAGGGGTCTGAGACCCTTGACACCATCAAACTGACCAGTGCTAGGTGCCTGCAGCCTCTGGTGAACCTAGAAAGTCAGGAGCTGTGAAGTTCAATTTTAGTTAAATTGAGCATTTAAGCAATGCTCCCCTCCCACACTATCATTCATGATGCCAGGATCAACCCTGAGGTGTAAATGTCTTCACTATTCCTGCTGCACAGAGAAAGAACTCCCACTCAGAATAGTGACAAGACAAGCTCATGTCATACGGCTAACAGCTTAGCTCCTTGTGGAGCACTGGCCAACTCCCCTGGACATGGTCCTTTGGGACCTTAGGAAGTCCACAATGGCTCAGAGGCCAAGGCTGTGGCAGCTGACTTGTCCTTGCAGACCTTGATGCAAGGCTGTCATGTGTGAGGACAAGTACAGAGGTGACATGGTTTCACTGACCACCTGGAAAGCTGGGGAACCTGGAAGAGAGAGGTCATTGATGGAAGAATAGAAGTCACTGAGGTGGTGCTGGGGAGATGGCTCACTGGGTAAAGTATGTGCTACAGAAGCGTGAAGACCTGAGTGTGGATTTGCAGCACCCATGTCAAGGGCCAGATGTGGCTACATATGCAGGTGTGGTTGCAATCCTAATGCTGAGAAAGGAGAGATAGGAGGATCCCATGCCTCACTGGCCACTAGCTGCACACACATGCATACAACACACACACACACA